GCAGGAATTTAAAAAAAAAAATCTGCTTTAACAAACAAACCAAAAAAAATCAGATGCTGCAATTAACTAGTAAAAATGAATGACTTGTGTTAAAATACAGTTTTACTCTCATGACTTTAGGTGACTTTTTCTCTACTTATATAATACCACAGACTATATCACTGAGTGACTGGAAATACAGTTTTACTCTCATGACTTTAGATGACTTTTTCTCTATTATATAATACCAAAGTGTGTCAAACACACTATATCACTGAGTGACTGAAAACCGTGGTGATGTCACTGAGGGGTCATACATTACATTGATGATGTCACTGAGGAGTTTTTTTTTACTATAGTGACAATGTAACTAAGAAGTTGTATACTATAGTGATGTCACTGAATTTGTTTCAGGTTTGGCCCGCGCAAAGTCAATTCCTACAAAAACGTATTCTAATGAGGTGGTGACCTTGTGGTACCGACCCCCTGACATTCTATTGGGCAGTACTGACTACTCGACTCACATCGACATGTGGTTAGTGCCTTTACTTCTACTTTGGCCTGCTTTTTGGTATTCTCACCCCTATTTCCCTGGTTTCTACCGAGTTCCAGTTTTCAAATGAGTAAATTCATTTTTGCACCTACTTATGTTTCAGTTGTTATAGCCTATTGGTATAACCGAAGTAACTACAAAGAGTTAACAGCAGGGTTTGGCAACCTTAAATACTCAAAAGAGCCATTTGGACTGTCTCCCACAAAAAAGAAAACACACGGGGCCATAAAACCCTTTTGACATCTAAAATGAGGATAACACTGCATATATAATTTTTTTTACCTGTATGCTATGTATAAAAAATCTATGGTGTGTTGCATTTATGAAATCAACACAGAATTTTGTTATTTCTGCATGTAACAAAAACATTTTTGAACAGACACTTGGTTGATGCTTACTTTCAAATAAAATATTTGAGTCCTTGTATTTAGGAAATATAAATCCAAACTTAAATTATCCACCCGCATACATATATATATATATATATATA